CGTCCTTCGATTCATCAGTGGCCGAGCTGGTTCTGTCATTGATGCCATCGGCCTGCACTGGGATGTCTATCCTTGCTGACTGCAGCAGCAGCTGAGCTCCAGCCTCCTCCATGGGGCACAGGGCACTGCGGTGGGGCATGAGAACTCCCTTATAATAACCCCCATCCAATTGGCTTAATAAAAGGTTAAACATGGTTAAAACTAGCATGTATGTGGGTGTCTATGGTTGGGATCTACCTCCTGATTTTGATAAGAACATGCCACTCACATTTCTGGCTCTCTGTTAGATACTAATCTGGGAAAAGTAGGAGGATGAGGAAGGGAATTATAAAATACTGGACTTTTCTTTATAATTTATCAAGAGGAGATATTTTCTGGCTTGTGCCAATTCTTTTCAAGGATAGATCCTAAGAATGTTTACCCAAATAGGAGGTCTGAGGCTAGGCTAAGGCCTAGTTGTGGCTTACTGCCAAAACCTGAAATGTCCTATTTTCCAGCTCTCCTCTCCCCTGGTCCTTCTCTTGAAAAAAAGTGCTTCTCTGCTAGAAAAATGTCACCTTACTCTATTGAACCAAACCCAGTCAATGTATGTAGTAATCCTAGACCATTATCCTTTGTCCTTTTCTAGAATCCACCTAACTCCTGAAGTTTAGCCTAAGTTTATGTTGAAGGACTCTGCCCTATTACTTCACCCCAGTTCTTCTCACCATTACCCATAAGCCCTGACATCCTTGTTTACCTCTCTCAGAACTAGGACTCTTTCCTCAGGCAATAACCACCTCCCCAACAGTGTAGAAGCTTGTCAGCACCATGCTCAAAAAAGGAAATTCCAAAGAGGAAAGATTTTCATTGTGGGTTGCCATGAATATAAGGGGTTGGTTAGAATTCAGGGGAAGCATCAGGGTAACTGGATGCTTTAAGAAAGGATATAAAGTTGCTATGGAAATAATTTTTAGGACTCTAGTTTCCAGTCTTAGAATACTAACAGTTTTTTGTTGGTAGCGGTGGGGAGTTACACATTGCTTCTGACAGATTTATTCATATCACAGGAAATGTCAGAGTCACATTTCTTCTCAATTAGAGTCCCATTTCTTTTCAACTAGACAAAGATAACAGTTTCACACATGTAATTTTATAAATATTCACATTCTAGAAATGAGCTCATGACTAGCCTGTTTTTATAATTCCTTGCTTTTCAATAATTCCATGGAACAGAATATTATGCCTTCGTAATTATTTTTATTGAGATATAAACCAGGGGCTGGGGATGTGGCTCAAGCGGTGGCATGCTCACCTGGCGTGTGTGTGGCCCGGGTTCGATCCTCAGCACCACACACAAACAAAGATGTTGTGTCCGCCGATAAAATAAAAAAATAAATCAATATTAAAATTCTCTCTCTCTCCTCTCTCTCTCCCTCTCTCACTCTCTCTTTAAAAAAAAAGAGATATAAACCAAAACATAAAATTCACCCCTTTAAAGTGTGCAATTCAGTAGTTTTTTAAAAATATTTTTTATTTATTAATGGACCTTTATATTATTTATTTATATGTGGAGAATTGAACCCAGAGCCTCACACATACTAGGCAAATGCTCTACCATTGAGCCACAACCCCAGCCTTTTTTTTTTTTTTAGTATAGTCAAAAGATTATGTAATCATCACCTCTCTTTAATTCTAGAATACTTTCATCACCCCAAAAAGAAATCCAGCCAGGCCTGGTGGCACATGCCTATAATCCCAGTAACTTGGGAGGTAGAAGCAGGAGGATCACAAGCTTGAGGTCAGTCTCAGCAACTTGGTGAAACCCTGTATCAAAATAAATCATAAAAAGGACTGGGGATGTGGCTCAGTAGCTGAATGCCCATTGGTTCAATCCCCAGTACCAAAATTAATAAATAAAGAGAAAAGAAAAAAGAAATTCAGTACTCATCTGCAGTCACTCTCTATTCTGTTGTCCTTATCTACTTTGTACAGATTTGCCTATTCTGGATTTTACACATACAGATGGAATAATACCATAATATGGCTCTTTTCTCTTTATTTTGAGACAGGGTTTCACTAACTTGCCCAGACTGGCTTCAAACTTGTGAAAGCAGTTCAAGTTGCTGGAATTATAAGCAAGTGCAGCTAGTCAAATGACTTTATTGATGCTGTTACAAACATATTTTCCAGAGGATGCTAAAGGAGCACAAAAAGGGCAACTAATTGTTGCTGGGGGTGTCGGGAAAGACTTTGTGTAGGAAGGAGTGCGCATATGTGTATGTGTGGATGCAGGCAAGCAGGACTAGGGCCCACATGACACAGGAATAAGAAGATATGAAAATTACAGAGCTGTGGATATAACTCAATGGTGGAACACACACTTAGCATGAACTCAGTCCTGGGTCCTGGATCCAATACCTGGGGGAAGAAAAAGAAAGAAAAGCAGACCACAAGTGGTTCAATACATCTAAAATGCAAAGGATCACAAGACCTATGGAAAGGCAGGGCCCATAAATGTCATGCTAAATAATTTAACCCTTATTTTATGGGCTATAGGGAGGCATTGAACCAAGAGTTTACCCAGAAGACTAGTAGGATTTATATGAATGCATCATTTTTCTGTTGTAAGTGGTGAAAATAAATTGCAGGTGAGGGCTGGGGCTATAGCTCAGTGAGGCACTGGGTTTGATCCTCAGCACCACATTAAAAAATAAATAAATAATAAAGGTTAAATTTTAAAAACTGCAGGTGAACAGAATGAGATAAGAAAGTTAAGAAACCAAGTTTAGATAAAAAATAATGAATGTTTGAACAAAGGCAGTTACCAAGAGAAGAGGAAGAATTGGAGAGATTGGGGGTAGAAGGGAAGATAGACACTGAACATTTGAGGGTGAGTGAAAGATACTTTCATAATTTTTAATGGATCTTAGGTTCATGAGTCATGCTGCACATGGTGATTCCCACATGTAATTCCAGCAAATTGAGAGGCTGAGGCAGGAGGATCATAAATTTGTGTCCAGCATCAGCAACTTCTCAAAATTTTTAAAATTTAAAGAAAGGGCTGAGGATGTAGTTTGGGCAACTGGGAAGAGAAGGGTATCATCCTCTGAGATGGGAAATAAAAAAAGGAAAAACTAATTAGTTCTTAGACTTGTTGAATTCTGAGGTATCTGGTACATCCTGGTTGAGATACAATATTATTATGCAAAATAGCATCGAAGAATAAAGTTTTTGTTAAGATTTTATTTTTGACAAATACTATTTATATTTAAGAGGTACAATAGGATGTTCTAACATGTTCATGATGTGAAATAATTATATTAGGCTAATTAACAAAATCTACCCCTTATATATATTTTTTTGTATCAGGAATTAAATCCAGGGACACTTAACCATTGGGTCACATTCCAAGCCCTTTTTATATTTTTTGGTTTTGTTTCTGTTTTTGAGACAAGGTCTCACCAATTTGCTTAGGGCCTCTGAGTTGCTGAGGCTGGCTTTGAACCTGTAATCTTCCTGACTCAGCCTTCTGGGTTGCTAGAATTATAGGTGTGCACCACTATGCCTGGCCATGTGCTAATTTTTTTTTGTAATGAAAACACTTAAAATCTGCTTTTAGCAATTCTGAAATATACAATGCATTATATATATGTGTGTGTGTGTGTGTGTGTGTGTGTGTGTGTGTGTGTGTGTGTGTTGTGGATGGACACAATACCTTTATTTTGCTTATTTTTATTTTTATGTGGTGCCAGGGATCGAACCCAGTGCCTCTGCTTCATGTATGCTAGGTAAGAGCTCTACCACTGAGCCACAACCCCAACCCCTATACAATGCATTTTTACTAATTATAATTGCCATTTCCTGCAACAGATTACTAAAGCTTATTCTCCTGTCCAACAGAAACTTTGAATCCTTTGATCAATCTCTTCCCTTCCCCATCTACCACCCTCTGCCAGCCTCTGGTAACCATCATCCCACTTCCCACTTTTCAACACCTTTAGATTTCTCATATGAGTGAGACCATGCAGTATTTGTCTGGCTAATTTCACTTATCACAATGTCTTCCAGGTCCATCCATGTTATCTCAAATGACAGGATTTGGGAATAAATCTTTATTTATTTATTTATTTGGTTTTTATTAGTTACACATGACAGTACAATGATCTTGACAAATTATACATTTGAATCAATTGGGGTATAATTTCTCATTTTTCTGATTGTACAGGTTGCAGAATCACATTGGTCATACAGTCACCTATATACATACAGCAATAATAATGTCTATTTTATTCTGCTGCCCTTCCTATCCCCAGGAATAAACCTTGATGCAGATTTTTTTCAATATTTTGTTGATGATGGATCTTTATTTATATGCAGTGCTGAGAATCGAACCCAGTTCCTCATGCATGTTAGACTTTACCACTGAGCTCAACCCCAGCCCTGAAGCGGATTTTAAATGGAGCAACCTAAGTTCATGAGTCATGCACATGAGGTGATTCACATACGTAATCCCAGCAACTTGGAAGGCTGAGGCAGGAGGATCAAAAGTTGTAGCTAGCCTCAGCAGCACAGTAGTAAAGCACCCCTGGGTAAGATTCCCAGTACCAAAAGAAAAAATTAAAAAACAGATTCATGAGTCATTAGCATAGAAACAATGACATTCAAGTGATGAATGTGAAAGAAATAACCTCAAGAAAACTATGGGTATATAAAATAAGAAAAAGGCTGAAGTCAGAGGATTGGGGTATAGAAGAGGCTGAAGATTCTGGAAAAAGGAGAAAAATGATGGGATCAAGTCTTTAAAAAGATTGAAGAGGATAATTTATGAAGATAATGAAGCAGGAAACTTTGAGGGAAAAAGGGGGGGAAATTATAATTAGTGGGATTACAGCTTGGTTTGTATACAAACTAAAACAAGGGAATTCATAGCTAACCTTTATTTGTTCAGTTAAATAAATAAGGCTACTTGCTATATCAGTCAGATTCTACCAGAGAAACAGGACCAGTAGGAGACATGCTTACATATGCATACAGGAATTTATTGTGTTCAAAAAAATTATAGCCACAGGGGGTAGGGTATGCCTATAATCCCAGCTACTGGGGAGGCTAAGGTGAGAGGATTGTCAAGTTCAAGGCCTGCTCAGGAACTTAGCAAGATCTTCAGCAACTTATTGAGACCCTGTCTCAAAATAAAAAACAAAAAGGCCTCGGGATGTAGCTCAATGGTAAAGCACCATTGGCTTCAATCCCCAGTACCTAAATAAATAAAAAATAAAAATATAGAAGTCCACTGTTTTGGACTAAGCCTTAAAAGCCCACACTAAAAATTAAAATGAAGTAATCTGTGCTAAAGTTCTACACCCAAAATGAAGCCAGCCTTCCAAAAAATCAGGAGGGAAAAAAACCTCAAATTTCCTAAATAGCCAGTTTCAATTGACATGATAATGAAGTTTCTTGCAAAGGGTAATCTGAAGTAACTTTGTTAACAAATCAGTTATTTTCCTATGGTTTCATATTCTTATGCCCACTTTGAGAGGAAATAAACTTTGAAATGACCCATCCCTTCTTCATTCTGTTTCTGCTTTCTTTAGCCTGTCTATAAAACCAACCCCTTTCATTGAGCTCATGGAAATATTATTCTATGTATTAGCCTGATTCTAGTATTATGGAAAAATCAGACTGGTGAGAAACTCAGTGACACTCAGCGAACCTCAATGGGCTCCCACTTGAAAATTCTGGGCCCTAAGCAGTGAGCTTACAGGGTTTTTATAGGGCGGTGCAGGAGATCGGGTTATAAGGGTGGTACTGGCTGCTAATAGGTGGGTTTGAAATTTGGGTTGCTCAAGTGGGAACAGCAGCTAGGGCAGGGCAGTAAATCTGGCTACAGAAGCAGAAATGGCCAGTTATCTCTGTGAAGAGACTTCTACTTGGTTCTGGGCCCACCTCTGGTTTAACTGATAACTTCTCCTGTGGCCTACTGGATCTGTTTTGGATATTTTTCCTGTTCATTCCCCTCTTTTGGTGCTTTTTCCAACTTGTGGATCAGCATCAACCTCAGGATGTTGGGAGAGTGAAACTCCTCATTTTCATCAGGTTCCTCCTGGCCAAGGGGCCTATATTGGGTTACTAGTAGTTACAGTTTGATTGACTCTAATCATGGATGAAAGTGGGTAATGAGATTGAGGATACAAGGACCCAATAAAAGTGCCAACAGGATTATGAGGAGGGAGCCAGTCACGTGGAGGAGCCATGAAGGTCAACTCCAGATGTTATTCCAGTGGCTCCAGGAATCTGCTAATTCCTGTCATTTATGTGGAACTCAGTCCTATAGTTGCTGGGCCATATCCCTGATGATCTCCAATTGGTTTGCATAACAGCATTCTTCATTTAGGAAGAGTCAGATTCCTCCCTTTTCAGCTGTTATTAAGTCTATTCCCCTCCTATTTTGCAAAACTACCTCAGCCAGATAGGGGTACTAATGATTTGGCCCACTTGTTCAGTATCATGTTAAGTCCTTAAATGGTTTGTAGTAAAAGGTGGTTGATGAAGTGATTCCTCCAATGCCTGTACCTATTCTGGCTATTATCCCCAATCCAATTAGCAGCAGTATGAACTGGATGGCTCTCCTTGATTGTAGATGGGCCATGAGGTTATGGGGAGGGTTTGGTTATTAGCTACTATGTTCATCTGAGGGATAAGGAAGGCCAAAGCACAGGTCCTTGTCTAATTAGTGGGCAGACATACATAAGCCTTCTGTCTCACATATAATGAATAGGCCTTGTTGGGGGTGGCACCATGTTGTGTTTGTGGGCCATCCACCTGTTAATGCTTGGTCACGTTGGTCCCTAGTTAAATTGCCAATGAAGGCTCTGCCCCTTCATTGCTGTCATGCATTCAGGAGCCTGTTGAGTCAGTATGACTGCCCCTAAATGGGTCTCATGGATGAATTTGGAGGGGGCTCTGTGGCTGTAAAATTTCCCAATAGTATTGGCGTGGCTAATAAGTAATCCATGGATAAGCACAACCAGCAATATTTGGCCAGCTGAAGGTTGGTATCATTAAGAAGGTAGTGGGGCTGCACTTAGCAACAGGTCCAACTGGGAGTCCAAATTAAGAGGCGTGGGTGGTTTGTATGGAATAAGGGAGTGGGGAGTGGGTGCACAAGTCCGGGCCCACCCAAGAGACTGAAGGGATGATGAGGCCTGGGTTGAAGGTAACAAGTAGTTCCCCAAGTTCCACAGTAGCCATTCCATAAACATAAGTTGTCCCCTTATGTCTGCATGGTTGTCTGTGGAGAGGCAGGGTGTAAAATGAGTGCTGGGTTCAGTGTACTGGGAGCACGTGTAGCGAGCATGTGGAAAGGGAGGTATGTATTTTATGATAACAAAGTATGAAAGATAGGTAACAACATAAGTTCCCTTTCCCATTGTCAGTTTGCTAGGGTTATAGTAACCCATAAAAGAGAGGTGGCAAAGTGTAATCCAGGAGCATTAATAGCTGAAAGGAATGGGGAGGGGAGTGTGTTCAGGCTATAGACAACCAGACAGCAGCACAACTTCCTACTCTAAGGAGATAGCAGGAGGCTAGTCACAATCTCTGACCCATGTCCAATCTTAGGGTTCAGTGACATCTAATCCAACAGCAAGGCATATAGCAACAGTGCTTATTAGCAGCAAGGGATAGATGTGACAGAGGGGGTTCATTTATATTTTGATAGGTGAATCCTCAAGCTTCTGCTGTGCACTGACCGACCAGCCTCTGGAGTATGGTCAGAGCAGGGCTGGAGTTCTATTTGCTGTGGATTCCTGGGTCATTCTCTGTGCTTAATTTAATGGGGGTAGTTGGGTCCCATACTGTTTGCCAATTGTTAGGGTCTGTTAGAATTGCATTCTTCATCTAGGAGTGATGGATCCAGGGAGTAACACATGCAACCTTAACAGAAGTGGGAATTGCCAATATTACCAGATGGGGACCAGTGGGCTGGAATGGCTCCTTTTTCCAATTCTTTGCCCAAATCATGTCTCCTGTTTGGTGGGGATGAGCCCAGTTACCCATGGGGATGGGGATCCTTTCTGAAACTTCTTGGAAGGTATGGTGTAGGATTTTTCCCAGGGCTTGGAGATGTCAAGACATTTCCAAGTTTCCAATCTGCTTGAGGTCTCCCCTAAACCTGAGAGGGGGATCTGCCATAGAGAATCTCAAAGGATGAGTGGTTAACCAGAGGGTTGTGGGGTACAGTGTGCTCTTTGTAGGGCTAATGGTAATATTTCCATTCAGGGGGACTGAGTTTCCTGGCAGAGTGCAGCTAAAGTGGTTTTCAAGATCCAATTCATGTGTTCTACTTTACCTGAGCTTTGAGGTCTATATGCTGCTTGGAGTTTCCATTTTATTTTTAACATCTGAGCCAGGCCTTGGTCTATTTCTGCAATGAAGCCCGGTCTGTTATCTGATCCGATAGAGAGCGGAAGCCTGTATCTGGGAATAACTTCTCTCGAAAGGGCCTTTACTACTTCTGCTTTTTCTGTGCTTCTAGGAAAAGCTTCAACCCACCCTGAATAAGAACAGACAAGGACCAGGAGGTATTGGTATTCCCAACAGGTCTTGACCTCTGTGAAATCTATCTGCACATCCTTGAAAGGCCTGGTTCCTGTTGTTTGTACCCCGGGGCTTAATTTAGTGTTAGTTTGTGCACATGTGCTACAATACTGGGGCAAAGAGTCTTTGGTCAGGCAGCTTCCACCAGCTACCTTCTTCCTTTATTCCTTTGCCTACTGTTCCTCTTCCTTAGTATAATTAGGGGTAGGAGGCAGCTCTGGGGCCCTCAAGAGCTTGGTGGTTTGATTCAGCTCTCTGAGGGAACTTAGTTTCTCTGCAGCCTCCTTTGCCACCCGGTCAGCCAGGTGATTTCCCCTGCTGACACAGTCTGAGCCTTTTTTGTGGCCCCTGCACCCTGGGATGGCTCCCAGACTGCATCCATCATTTGGAGATTTTTCTTCCTTCTTCTTAATCTCTTTTCCTTCTGATGTCAGTAGCTTTCTTTCCTTGTAGATCACTACATTCACATGCAGGGTGGCAAAGGCATTCTTTGAATCAGTATAGATTTTGCCCATCATAATGCCTGGGCCAATGCCCAAAGTTGAGCTAGCTATGTGTACCATCCTTGCAACAGGGCTTCAGCCTATGTGATATCATTAGCAGCAGTGACTCTGAACCCAGCTTTCCATTGTCCTCTCTGGACAAATCTGCTTCCATCTGTAAAGAGTTCAAGTTCCGAATCTGTGAGGGAGACATCCATTAAGTCTGGTCTGTTACAGTCAACTCCATCCATCATTTCCTCACAGTTGTGATCTGGAGGCCCTTTGTCTGTTGGCAGGAAAGTAGCAGTGTGATGGCAAAACCAGACCTGGTTATGAAATGAAATTACAAAAACATTACAATAAGAAACCAATGCCTGGGGAAGGGGTCAGTTCTGCTCCCCTCTCTCAGCCTTTCTCCAGGAAGCCTAATTAACCATGGGCCCCTACCTTTTGGGTTGTAAATAACTGCCCTAAGAATCTGACTACTCCTTCTTGAAATGTAACAGATGCCTGTGAAAAGAGCTGTCCTTATCTGTTTCTGTAAGCATCCTTTATGTTAGAGACCCTGCACAGGGCCTTCAGCTGCATAGATTAGGAAATGTTTTTTGTTTTTTTGTTTTTTTTTTAAAGAGGAAAGCCCCAGTGATAGGGTGGGTCTAAGATGATGTCAAATAATCTATAAATATTGTGAAAAACTGTGGACCAGGGCTCAGAATTTGGAGTTTTGTTTTCCTCTGGGCCCACCAGTGTAAAATAAAGTTTGGAGTTCTCCTCTCTTGAGTGCTGCTTGCTGTTTCTCGCCATCTGTTTCCCTGTAACAGCAGGGTTTGAATTCACATGGTTTCAAACCTGACTCATGAGTTTTCACATAGTAGTCCTTGATAATGAGCTACATTGGAACAGGTTAACCATTTGTGTCCTTGCCCATTCATTAGTGCCATGACAGCATGGGGAATCTCAACATTAATCCTATCCCAGGGTGTGCTTTTTGACTTCCTCGATTAAGGTTACCATACATAGCAGCCAAGGCCTGAAAACATGGTGGCCACCCTGAGGCAACTGGGTCCATGTGTTTTGACAGGTAGGCCACAGGCCGCTGCTATGGACCCACTGTTTGGGTAAGGACTCTGATTAACACTCTCTTTACCTCCTGGGAAGCCTTTTCTTGGTCCTGTCTCCAGTTCAGAGGGTCCTTTTCAGAACCTGCTGTGACTTCATAGAGTGATTTGGCCAGACTAGAATATCTAGGTATCCAGATGTGGCAGAACCCTGCTGCTCCAAAGAATTCTTAGGTGTCCTTTTCAGTCTTTGGTTGTTGAATGGAGCAGATGGCCTGTTTTCTTTCTGGACCTAGGGTGTGTCATCCTTCGGAAATGATGAACCCGAGGTACTGGATCTCTTGCTGCACATTGGGCCCTTTTCCAAGAAACTCTGTAGCCTGCCCGGCAGGCCAACGATGCTTTTGTTCCTTCCCAGCATTTCTCACAGTTGGGGCTTGCCAGGAGAAGGTCATCCACATATTGGAACAAGGTACAGCCTGGGTTTTCTTTCAAAAAAGTTGACAGGTCTGCTACTAGGGTTTCTCACAACAGGGTGGGTGAATTTTTGAATCTCTGAGGCAGTCTAGTCCAGGTCATTTGTGGGTTTTTTCCCCCTTTGGGGTTTTTCCCCTTGGAAGTTGATTGGGGGTTGGTTGGCCGGGGCCGGGCGGGGGCGGAGGAAGTTTTTTTTTGGTTCCGGCCGGTGAACCAGCTTGCTTATGGTGGCAGGAGGCTCAGGAGAGTATAGGGGTTGGGAACTACTGGGTGCAGCATGATAATGGCATTGTTGATTGCCCTTAGGTCCTGGACAGGTCAGTAGTCACTTCTTCCTGCCTTCTTGACAGGCAGCAGTGGGGTGTTCCATGGCAACTGGCATTCAACCAGTATTCCTGCATCCTTAAGCCACTGCAAGTGGGCATGAATCCCCAGACATGCTTCCCATGGCACTGGATATTGTCTCTGCCTAACATGGAGAGCCCCAGGTTTGAGATCTACCATTATGGGTGCATGGTTGTGAGCCAAGCTGGGGGCTCTTTCTCAGCCCAGACATCAGGAAACTCCTCCAACAGGCAGGTGGGCCTATTGCACAGTAGTCGGTACCACCGGCACCTAAATTATCCAGCAGTTGTGTGAATCCTGGATGTGCCAGCTAGGAGGACACATGGTGACTCACAAATTCTTGTACCTACCAGAATGCCCAATTCTCCTGCTGGGAAGAGACATACTAACAAAGCTCAGAGCCCAAATCACCTTCACCCAGGGAGGGCTCACAGGTCTTACGTTGAGGGAACCAAACATCCTTATCATGGCAGGACTGTACCGACTACTGTGCTGAGTAGGGCCACAGGTATAGTGACCATGGAGTGTTCAGTGACTGAATCAACCACGAAAGTCATTAACTGGCTACCCACTTTCATTTTGACTGTGGGTTCTCAGGGGCTCTGTAGTAAGGAGCCTGGTTTTCCCTAGTCTGCCTTGATTCTGGCCAGACTAATGAGGTTCTAGGTTTCTGGTTTAGGTTGCCATTTTTGTCTTCTTCCCTGAGCAGTCTTGTTGGGTCCTTACATTGGTCCCTTATGATGAGGACATTCATTTTTTCAGTGGCCAGTCTCCTTGCAATAGGCTCAGTGGTCTTGTCAGAGCAGGGCTCTTCTATTGGGTCCCCCCTTTCATGGTGGGGCTGACTACCTAGTCAGGTTTTGCTAGAGCTGCAGCCAATAAAGACACCTTGATTTTCATTTTCTTTTCGGCTTCCCATTTGGCCTCATGGTCTTGATTCACAAAGACCTTGTTTGCCTCTTCTATCAGCTGGGTGACATTCATTCCAGCGAGCCCTCAAGTTTTTGGAATTTCCAGTGAATGTCAGTGTAGGTTGGGCCACACAAACACTGTGTTGACCATTCATTGGTTTTCTGATGTTTCTGAGTCAAAAAGAGTGTACATTCAGAAGACCTCACACATTTTCTCGTAGAAGTAGCTGGTGACTCCTTTGGTTTCTGGATAACTGCTGCGGTTTTGAAGGTGTTAATTGGTTTTTTAGCTCCTGCCAAGCCTGTAGGAGGGCACCACAGTATTGACTGAGGGCTCCTTGTCCATCCACTATAATGAAGTCCCAGGCAGGCCAAGCATCAGGGATGCCTCAGTTGCCCAAGCTTCTGCATCTAGGGTTCCTGCTGGGGTTTTCCCCTTGGAGCCAGCTGTGAACATCTGTCAAGATTCATTGTCACTCTTCCATGTTGAAATATGGAAGGATCTGGTGGCAATCATGCCAAGTAGCTTGGTAGTTCTGAAATATGGACTCTGGGAGGCTGATCATGGCTTGGGGCTTCTCTGAATAGGATGGTGTGTAGGGTCTCCAGTTTAGGAGATCTGTGGTACTAAAAGATTGGTAATACAGGATAGAGCACCTAGGCTGGACAATGTTGTCCCATTGATCTGTGGTAGCCCCTGCATTTCCTGGAATGGCATCTTGAGGGTCACAGTCAAAGGGGATGGTTCTTGGGATGAACAATGGCATTGCCTCATGGGCTGTGGACTTGGCCTCCAGGCCAGAGGAGAGCTTGGGGTGCTGTCCGGACTGGGAGGCTGCTGAAAAGGTTGAGGGGGACTCACTGAATGCAGCAGGGTGTCTGGGAGATGCAGTATTGGTTGCCTCGATGGTGACAGCATGCTAGGAGCGTTTGGGGGGCAGCACAGCTGGCTCATCCTCTGGGTCCTCTTGCAAAACAAGCTTGATCAGCTCATGGTCTTTGGGATTCTTTACCTGGGCCACAAAAATTGCTTTGCCCGTACAACCAGAGATAAGAAAAATTGTGCTCTATATGTGTGATATGAATTTTAATGCATTCTGTTGTCATATATAACAAGTTAAAATTAAAAAAAGAAAATGTAGTGTATATATACATAATGGAATATTACTCAGCATTAAAAGAGAATAAAATCATGGCATTTGCAGGTTAAAAAAAAAAAAAAGCTGCTTTGTCCCTTTTTGTTAGCACATCAGACCCAAGGAGGCAGGCTTTAGGCTATCTGAAGCCAGGATACAGTGGAACTGATTTGGGTATCTGGGGATCCCTATTACAACCTGATAGACGGCCCTAACAGTACTTCTTCAGAGGGCCATTCCAATTTGCACAGTGTGTGCAACTTTCCTGGAGACATTTGATCCCATAGTCTCCTGAGAATCCCTTCTTGAAATTTTTAAGTCTAAGGTTTCAAGGAACTTCCACCCATGGTAGTCAGGTAGTGCTCTCTATTTCCCACCCTATGTGTTCCCCTCTTTGAATTGGTGATACAAAGACAAACAAGGGAGGGTGCCCCTTCAAGAGAAGAGACCAACCAGATGTCTGCCTGGCTGCCTTCAAAAAGAACTTAGGTGTTTCTTAGCATCATTGGTGGGGTCAGCCTCATGACTCTGGATCCGGTTGCCCAAATGCCACCTTAAGCTACATGAGGGCCAGCGTGGAATTGCAGAACAGACCCATTCAGACTCTGTAGCTTTCTGTCATGGAGCAACAAACTCAAATCTGAGATGTCAGCAAATCAGATCGCTCATCCACACAAACATTCACACATCAAAGTTTATTGCATTTCCTCCCCACTTTGGGAGGTCCCTGACCTGTAGAGTTTCTTTTGGGGACTGATCAAGCTCCCCTTCCGCCCAGTGGGATGGAACCTGACTGGGGACTGAGTTTTCCAGGGTCTTACTGGGTCCGGATGAGTTGCCAGGTGAGTTGGTAGATTTCTTCTTGGAGTTGCCGTTGGAGTCTGGTTGGGGCAAGGCTGCCTCCAGCCTGGGTTGGAACTCCAGGGTAAAGGAGGAACTAGAATACTTATGGGTGGTGCACCACCTTATGAGTCCCTTCCTACTCAGTGCAGTCCAGCCACTGGCTGTTGGCTCGAAGAATCAGAATGGTTGGAATCTTTCTGGTGCCTCCAGAAATGTGGAAAAATAGACTGACAAGAAACCAAGTGACACTTGAAGTAGGAGAACTTGGGTTTATTTATGCTAGCGGACACAGATGAGCTCACACTTGAAAATTCTGGGACCCAAACAGTGGGGTTACAGCGCAGTGCAGGAGATCAGGTTACAAGGAGATAAGGCAGTGAAGGAGATCAGGTTACAAAGTGGTACTGGCTTCTAATAGGTAGGTATGCAAGTAGGGGTTGTTTAAGCCAGAACAGCAGCTAGGATAGGGCAGGAAGCTTGTGGTGGGGAGCCTGGTTTCAGAAGCCAAAATGACCACTATCTCGGTATGAGGACTTCCACTTCTCTTCTCCTGTAGCCCACTGGATCTGTTTTGGGTAATTTTCCTGTTCACTAGAATTGCAAGATCTTT